CTCCCCCGGCCTTGTGCTCGCTCGCTCTCTCAAATAAATATTTTTTAAAAATAAATAAAATAAAATACAGTATCACAGAAGGAGAATTCTTCCTTTATCTTCAAGGTTTAAGAATTCATTCGACATGAGACAGATTAACAGGAAGAAAGAAAAGTTTTCTTGCGTGTGTGCAAGAGGCCCAATAAGGACCACGGCAGGCAGATTTCATACATTTGAGATGATGGGTTCATGAGGAACTCACAGGATTTACAGGGTAAGGAAAACAGGGGTTTGGGAGCGTTAATTAGGATGGAATTCTAAATAAAAATGTGGGTGGACTGAGGTAGAAGATTAGAAAAACAACAAGGTTTTATTTCTACAGTTTTCTTGGCTTCACAGGCCCCATCATTTACTTCTCAATCTGGGGCGGTGTTTTTCTGACGGGAGATTCGTGTCCTGTGTTCAGGGGACAGAGGAGGGCCTGAGGCGCTCCGAGCAGCTGTTTCCCCAGAAGCTTCGATCCAAAATGACCGGTGCGCCGGTGGCACATTCTGGGGGGGGGGGGGGGGGGGGGGAACACACCCGCCCTGGGCCCCTACAACACCTGTCTCCCCAGTGTTCTCCATCATGACTGCTCCATCCTCCCGCCCCCAAACTCCCGCAGCCACTCACACCCTTCTCTCCATCGGGTCCCCAGCCCATTTGTCTGTCACAACTCTGACTTTTTGAGGATCCCACACCAATTATTTTCCAAAATGCACTTTATTTTGATTTACCATATTGTTTCCCATGACTAGATTCAGATTAAACATTTTTGGGAAGAACATTACGTAAGTAATATTGTGAACGTGGGGCTGCCGGTATCTTTTCCATGTCCTGATTTCATTTCCTTTGGACAAATAGTAGCGGAATTACTGGGTCACAGGGTACTCCCACTCCCACAGCCCAGGACAGGGGTGCTGTCACCAATACCGCAAGGCTCAGGGGCCTGGTCCAGGGCAGACCTTGGTGCTCAGGGGACTGTTGAGGCCCTCACTGAGGCTGCAGACCTGATGGTCAGGCCCTCCCTCCGGACAAGGTCTTAGAAAAGTGCTGCCACGGGAAATGGTCCCTCTCCTTGGGCTGCCCCCAGATTGGGTGCCCCTGCTATCATTTATTCACTATCTGCATTCCCGCCGCCGTGCTCGAGGTCCAGTTGCCTTTAGAAGCCTCATTCCACACAGAGCAGGCTCCTGGCGCCTTCAGCAGTCCCCGCGCCAGCCGCCCACCCCCTTAATTGCTGCAGCTTTGAATCATGTTCTGAAATCAGGAAGCGTGAGTCCTCCACTTTATTCTTCTTTTTTCAGACAATTTCAGCTATTCTTTGAAGCTTCCATGTGAATTTTAGGATGGGTTTATTTCGACGAAAAGCATCATTGGGATTGAGAGAAGGGCTGCACCGAATCTGCAGACCACTTTGGGCGGCCCGGACAGCCGGGCGATAGCACGTCCTCCAGCCCACGAACACGGGTCTTGGCAAATGTTCATCTCTGCATTTCCTTCAGCAGTGTTATGCTTTGCAGTGAACACATCTTCCACCTCCTTGGTTAGTTCCCAAAATTTTCTTTTTCATCCTATTATAAGTGGAATTATTTTAATGTACTTCTTGGGTTGTTCCCTGTCAGTGTATAGAGACGTAAGTGATTTTTGTAGCTTGATTTTATAACCTGCAAACTTTGCTGAGTTCATTTTTTTGAGTATGAAATATTTAGAGTTCCCTACATATAAAATCATGTGGTCTGTGAACAGAGATGATTTAATTTTCTCCTTCCCAATGTACTTGCCCGCTCCGTCTTCTCATCTCCCTGCTCTGGCTAGGACCGCAGTGCTGTTGAGCAGGAGTGCCCAGCGTGAGCATGCTGGCCTTGTCCCCACCCTCAGAGGAAGTGTTCAGTCTTGCCACCGAGTGTGATGGTGGCTGTGCGCTTTCCAGAGATGGCATTTATTCTGAAGTAGTTTCCGTCTCAGTTTTTTGAGTGCTTTTATCAGGAAAAGGTATTGCATTTGATCAAATGCTCTTTCTGCATCACTGAGAAGGTCCCATGGTTCTAGTCCTTCACCAAGTTAACATGACATGTCACATCCGCACGCCGGCTGTCCTTGACTCCCAGGAACCTCATGGGCTCATGCTAAGCAATCCTTCCAACGTGCTAACGGTCGTTTGCTAGCCTTTGAGGACTTCTGTGTCAGTATTCACCAGGGACCTTGGTCTCCAGTTTCCTTGTGGTGTCTTCGTCTGGCCTCAGTATCCAGGCAATGCTGACCTCATGGAATGAGTTAGGAAACGTACCCTTCTCTTTGTTTCTGGGGAACAGATGAAGGACTGGTGTTGTTTTTTAAATGTTTGGCAGAATTCACCAGTGAAGCCACCTGGGCCAAAGCTGTTTTGTTTTGTTTTTTTTTATTATTCATGAGAGACAGAGAGAGAGAGAAAAAGGTAACATCGTGCACTGTTGGTGGGAATGCAAACTGGTGCAGCCACTCTGGAAAACAGTATGGAGGTTCCTCAAAAGTTAGAGTCCTCATAAGCCAGCAATCCCACTTCTAGGTAGAAGCCCAAAAGAATTCAAAGTAGGATCTCCAGGAGACGTGTGCACCTCACCTTCGGTGCAGAATTACAATAGCCACTAGGAGGAAGCAACCCAGCAGTCCGGAGATGGATGGATGATGGATGGATGGATGGATGAATGGATGATGGATGGATGGATGGATGGATGGAGAGATGGATAGATGGGTGGTTGGATGATGGATGGATGGGTGGATGGATGATGGATGGATGGATGGATGATGGATGGATAGGTGGATGGATGCAGAGAAGGGCATGCAAGAGTGTCAGTGCAGTCTTAAGATGAAAGAAAGCCCGGACCTGTGTGAGTGTGGATGGACCACGGGGACCCTGCATGGGAGTAAGCCATTCACAAATGGACCAGTGCTCCATGGTTCACCTGAAATATCCAAGTTTGTCAGAATCCCAGAAACAGGGAGTTGAGAGGCAGAAGCCAGGGGATGGGGAGGGATTAGTTTCATGGGGAGAGAGTTTCAGTTCTGCAAGATGTAAAAGTTCTAAAGATCTGTTGTACAGCTACGTGAATACACTTAACAATACTGAATTGTACACTTATAAATGGGTTAAGATGGTAAACTGAATGTTTTCTCCATGTCCTCACCAACACCACAGTTTTCTTGAGTGTCCATCCTGGTGGGAGTGAGCTCACATAGGTTTCATCTTCATTTCTCTGTATTAGCATTTTCAGCATTTCCTCCATTTCATAAGGTGTCTTTTACTGTTGGTTATTTCCTTTGAAGCAGAGATATTTGTTTGATATCATCCCATCTATCTTTTTGGTTTTGTTACCTGTACTTTCCAGCTCTGGAATTTTGGGGGCACCTCATTTTCCTGACTCTGCATATCTTCCTTCAGCTCTGGGTCTTTAGGATGGTTGTTTTAAACCATCTCATCCTCCTGAGACATCATTTTTTTCCTTTTTTTTTTTTTGCGAGAGAGAGCACGAGAGGGAGGAGGATCAGAGGGAGAAGCAGACTCCCTGCTGAGCAGGGAGCCCGATGCGGGACTCGATCCCGGGACTCCAGGATCATGACCTGAGCCAAAGGCAGTCGCTTAACCAACTGAGCCACCCAGGCACCCTCATTTTTTTCCTTTAATGGGCCTTACTTCCCTACTCTTTTGTATGCCTTGTGATTTTGTTGAAAACTGGACATCTGAAATCTCATAATGTGGGAATTCTGGAAATCAGAAACTCTCCCTTCACCAGAATGGCTGGATTTTGTTGTTTTAAGGGTATCACTGTGCCAGCCAGGGGTAAACACTGAAGGTCTCTGTAGTTCTTCTCTGAATACATGTCCTTCCCGGGGCATTTGTGTGGTCTTTCCAAACTCCCTTCGCATGCAGTTGCTTTTCAAAGTCCTCATCCTTAAGTGTCTGGCCCCCAGAAGAGGTAAAGCAGGAAAAAGAAACAGGCGCTGGCTCTTTAAACCCCCTGCATCTGATTCCGTGGATGGGGATTGCAAGAATGGGGTCCGTCTCTTTGTCTACACCTCTGCCATCAGAAGCACAATCAGCAATGTAAACCTAGAATCCTGATCTTTGGGGGACAAGGTCCTTAGCAGCCCCCCTGACTCACACAAGCAGCCACAGGAACAGAGGCATAAGCGCCTGCCCCGGGGCGGGGGTGGGGGATGCGTGAACACCAAAGCCAGAAGGGCCAAAATCGACCCAAGTTGCTGGATTTCCAGCCCAGCCCTTCCCAGCCCTTCAAGCCTCCAGAGACCCGGGTTCCAGAACGGTTCCGCAACTGCGACCCCCGCGAAGACGTGGGCTCCTGCCTCCCCAACACCATGTGCGTTTCAGCTTCTCTTCACCAATCTTTTTCAGCACACACACACAAGCGAAAATCTCACTTTATACCCCCGTATAGCACGCAGCACACGCTAGACACGCCCGTAAGACAACTGCCCTCCGGGGCGCGACGCTGCCCACGGCCGCCCGGGTGGAGGCGGGCACACCGGCGCGGCAGCGAGGGCGGGCTCCCGCGCCACAGTGACCTCCATTCAGGACAGCCATGGACGGGCGCGGCAGGGGGGTGTGCCTCCGGAGGGGCAGGGGCTGCTTGTGTTTCCCGGACACACACTGGGCTGCTACAGTGCCTAAGGTGACGTTTTACCCCACGGAGAAGGGCTGTTTGTTTTCAAAACAGGAGTTAGTTTATTTTCCCTTTTCATTTGGCCAAACTACAGTGATTTGTAACTAAACAAAAAAAAAAAAACCCTAAATCAACCAAAACCACTTTCTTTCAGAGGTTCATCCTGGATGAACTAGCTGGAGACAGGCTACAAGGGTACACACATCGTAGAGAAAGACTAGCTGGCGCGGCTCTCAGTAGGCACGGCTGGCAGCCTTCTGCCCGTGTCCACAGCAGAGCGGTTTCCTTCGCAAAAAAAGACCAGACACACACGAACCAAAGTTCCCTCTTGCGGAAAGATTTTTCTCCATCAAAACACACATGATGTGCACCTTTCCGGTTCGGCAGATCTGAAGTGACCAGAACTCCCTAAATGCAGAACCCGCCGTCCACTCGGAAGACCCGTGCCGTTGGGCAGCGCTGACACCTTCCCGCACCCGCGCCCCCCGCCCGAGAGCAAGCAGCCAGAGCTTCAGGTGTCCTCGCTGTCTGCGGTTTATAGGCGGTGCCCCGATCCTGGGACCCCCCCACCAGATGAGGCCAGGCACCACCCCGCCCAGCCACTACCGCCTGTCCTTTTTCCCGGCTTTCCTCTTTCCGGACAGCAAGTGCTTGGGCTTCATATCAAACACGTGTCTGTCTGCTTCTCCTTTCTTCCCCAGGCGGTTCATCTTCCTCTGAGCGTTCTTCATCATAGTCTTGGCTTTCTTCACCATCTGTAAAGCACAAGAACACACAACACACGTGAGCTCCCGAGTGTCCACGTGCCTTGTCATGACCGGTTAGCAGTCTGTCTCCACGGTCCAGATCTCTTCTGCGAGAAGTGCTGGCCAGTCTCAATCACTGCAGTCTGCCCTGGGGCCCGGGGGCTGCAGACCTCATCCCCGTGCACACAAGGATGGGAAGAACGCTCTGTCTAGACAAATCCTGTCCCTACCAGGAGCCGGAAGATTAGGCCCATAGGCCGTAATTCCCTCTTAGACAAACAAGAGAACAGAGTCAGCCCATGAAACCGTACCGCTCATATCTGACAAGTGGCAATGCTGCATTACCAAAATCCAGATTTCTAGAAGGAGATGGAAATCTCAGGCTTCCATCAAGTAAATGGTTTGCCAGTTTATAGACTTTCTCCCATACCTGAACTTTCAAAATGCCAAAACTAACCATTTTTGTCTTTATTTAATAAAAAAGTTTCAATGAAAAAGACTGTATATATCCAGTGTCTTTCCCAAAAGACTGGCCACAACTGCTCCCTGCAGGGGCTCCGGCTCCAGGTTCTGAGCACGGTGCCCTAGGACACCATGCTTCCGTCCACCCACAAGAGGACACCGCTAGGACAAGGGTCCAGAACACTGAGCTCGCCTCTCGGGGGGCACCAGCCCCACCTGTGGTCCCTGCCCTCTGAACGACAGCTGCATGGTGTGTCCTGAGCCCATATCACAGGGACTAACCTTGACGTCCCGAAGGCCAGAGACATCCCGCGGAGTCCGAGAGCAGCTGCGGCTGCCAGCTACAGACGCGGGTGGGACAGAGTCCTCCCGTTTCCTCTTCCTAGTAACGCTCCGGGACCTTCTGGCCTGGACTGCATAATGGGCCTGAAAAGCACGAATAGCAAATTCAGGGCTGTGGTCACACACACGAAATTATACCGACAGGACACGCAAGAGTTTTGAAAGACGTTATTGAATACGCTAAAGCTCTTTAACATCACATTAGTTACTGGTCAAATACTCTTTTTCACTTAACACACTGCTTGATGTTACAAATAGGATTTTTTTTTTTTTTTTTTTTTAAGATTTGTTTGACAGAGAGACACAGCGAAAGAGGGAACACAAGCAGGGGGAGTGGGAGAGGGAGAAGCAGGCTTCCCGCTGAGCAGGGAGCCCGATGTGGGGCTCGATCCCAGGACGCCGGGATCATGACCTGAGCCAAAGGCAGACGCTTAACCATTTGAGCCACCCAGGCACCCCTAAGCATCCGACTCTTGATTTTGGCTCAGGTCATGATCTCAGGGTCCTGGGATCAAGCTCAGCATGGGGTTCTGCACTCAGTGGGGAGTCTGCTTCAGATTCTCTCTGCCCTTCTCCCCACTCACACACACTCTAAAATAAATAAAAGCTTAAAAAATACATATAATATAAATAAATATATATATATATATATATATATATGCTCCAGCATAATTCATCAAGAAAAAAAAAATCAGAATTTCAAAAGTTATCTGAAATACCTTTTAATCGTTGGGCCCCCAGGAAAACAGTTCTGAACTATTTACAGCCCAAGCTCCTCTCATGTTGAGACTAAATATACCCTCATATACCTATCTGATCACTAAACTGATGCTAAGACGCTACATGAAGACTGTAGTCACCAAAATCAAAGTTCAAGTTAAAAATTAAAAAAGTAAGTTTACGTTTTTTCTCTGACATTCTATTCCAACTTGTATTTTTCCCAGACACAAATTACTTCTACTTTATTGTATATTACTTACACATCACCTTACATTCTGAGTTGATAGCAAATGAATTTTTAATTTTATTATGTTAGTCACCATATGTCATTAGTTTTTGACATACTGTTCCTTGTTTGCATGACAGCAAATGAATTTTTAAACAACCACCCCAAGAAGCCTAAGATAAACTAAGAGTTTTTACTCAAAAATTATCCTAAAAATGCTATACCACAATGGGAAATAAGTATGAAATACGAATATGGTTACAAATACATTTGCAAGAAAAAAACAGAAGGATTAAAGTCCTCTGTACAAAAAGCTGAATAAAAAGGTATAAACTGCATGTCAACCTAGATTATTTCTGTGTGCTGTAAACACAGGTGATTTTTTTTTCCTTTCTTGTTTTTGGTATTTTTCATATTTTCCATTAACCTGGAATGAAAAATGATGTAGGCACAAACACGATAAAACACTGACAAAAAGAAAAAAAAAAAAAAAGAACAAAAACCCAAAAACCCCAAACCCCACAAAGAAAAGCACACCGGGGCCGCCCCACGCTCAGGGCCACACGGAGTGTGCAAGGTGTCCCTCAAGTCTTCCTGCATCAACAAGAACAGAGCCTGAAAACAGCGCCCACACCATCAACAGGGGCCCTGGAGCCAAGTGCCCTGAGCCATCCTGAGGGGCCGGTGGATGGTGGCGGGCAAGCACACTCTCAGCACTTCCAAGCCGCTCCTCCACACACACTCCAAGTTCTCCTTTCTTCTGTAACCAGCTCCACCAGCCCCCGGGTTTCTAAGAGCCTGGTGTCCTAAGACAGAGCCGTCCATGTCCCAGGATCACCTCCACACACTTACGTTGTTTTTGTCATCCATGTCAACACCAAGACTGCGCATCTCATCCTCCAAGACTTTCCGCTGAACCTGAACATGGGGGAAAGGGATTTAAGCAAAATTACTTTTATGAATGTTTAGAAAAAAAAAATTCAAGGAAAAATGTGCCTTTTACAATGATATACATTACGTTTTTTCTAGGAATTAAAACTTTTAATTGAGCTCAGGTTTGTATTTTTGGACAAGCATTAAAACCGTGGAAACCAGCATCTCCCAGGCAGTGGCCATGTGTAAGACGACGTACGCGTCATGTCCTCGGGTTCTGCATGACTCTGCAGGGAAGTCTCTGCCTGAAGGGTTCCTGATGCTGAGGTCACATGATGTGCCCCAAGATGCAAACTCCAGCCACAGCGTTTCCTCCCAAACCCACTGAGCACCACTGGGGACACAGACGAATGTCCAGTCTACCAAGAACCACTCGTTTGCCATCTCATGAAAACAGTACTCAGACACACTAATGTCCACAGAAAAGTGTCTGGAATGTCACTGTTTCCTTTCCTCTCCTGCCACATTTTAGCTGCCTTGCACGCCATCCTATCATATCCCGCGGTCTGAGGGCGCCCACAGGACCTGGGCTCACCTGCCGCCCTGACAAGCACAGAGCAGGAGAGAAAAATACTACAAAGATGGGGCTGAGACCGGAAAGAATTCTATCATTTGACCAATCTGTGCCTAAAGTGTGACTCTCCCCGTTCTAACCAGTCATAGGAGCCAAGAAATTGCCCGAGGATTTAAGCTGGACTGGCTTAGGTTTCTGTAAACTGCAAAAGAGGAGTCCTGACTCAGAAATTAAAGAACAGGAACATGGTGACTGATGGCTTTTCTGCCACAAATCCCAAACCACAACCTTACTCTGTTCGACTGCAGAGGCTGACTCTGACAGTGCCGAACCCGAGAGTCACCAGGAAAGGGCCCCATTAGCAGAATGCAGCAGACCAGAGCTCAACACACCTCAAACGCTAGGACATATCAACAAAACAAAGTCAGTGCAATCCCATGGCCACAGCCACATTTAGGTTGAAATGCTGCACTTAGCAATGACTGTATGAGAATCCAGCACCGCAGAGGCCAGTCCTGGCGCTCTGGATACACAGAACTTGCCTTCTTAGCGGTCCGAGGCATCCTGGGGCCCTGTGTGTTCTTCTCCTTGGACTGCAGAATTTTCAGTTTCTTTTTTTCCCGAATTTGCTTCGCCAGCTGGCGGATCTCCCCCATCTCTTCGTCCTCACTGTCAGACTCGCTGTCATACTCCCCCGCTGCTGTCCTTAGCTCTTCCTCTTTTTCTAACTCTTCCAGTTTCTTTAAAAAGAATTGTCATTAAACACAACAACGAAAAACTCTCAAGCGTAGCAATGTTCCCGCGGGAACTCGGTTCCCCTCGGCCTTGCAGGGGGCGCTGAACGCCTGCGCCCGGTCCCGCACAGGAATGCCCAAGAGCTCACCTCCCAGCAGTGAGCCCACACGCCCCGTGAGCTGTCCTGTGCTGTTTCTTTCTCTTTACCAACAATTACTGCAGACGTCAAGGTGAAATATACAGACATCACCTCACGCCCCAGCACTACCCCCTACCCTACACACACGAGAACACTTCCTGCGGAAAAACTAGGAACTTACCATTGTGAGCTGATATGGGATTACGACATCCCCTTTATCCGTTCTAAGGCCATCCCCAAACACAAATGCCCCTGCTAGCTACACAGTTTAGGAGAAACAAGTTATGGTCACGCCTGGCTGGCTCAGTCTGTGGAGTGTGCGACTCCTGATCTCAGGATCCTGTGTTCAGGCCCCACGCTGGGCGGAGAGATTACTTAAAGGAGCCCATGACAGGGTTCCTGGGGCCAAGAGTGTGGGCCTCAGTGTGCAAATGGAGGGGCCTGCCCAGCAGAGCACCCTGCAGATTGAAAATGTAAATGAAGGGCAGCATTTGGGAAGGAGTAGGAAATGAGGGAGCACTGACAGGAAATACTTGTATCTTTTCAAAAACCTCGACCAAGGAGAGAGGGGCGAGACAGCAACTAACGGAGGACACAGGGTTTAAGAAAGGTTCTGTTTTTTAAAGAGGAACCCGCTAAGGAACAGCCAATAGGAGGAAGCCACCACTGAGAAGAAAAGCTCCAGGAGACGAGAACAGGTCAGGTCGGAGGACAGGGAGCTCATGGCCCAGAGTCCACCTGCCCCACGAAGGAGGCCGTGTCTCAGAACAGAGAGAAAGCAGAGTCCTGGGGTCTCCGGGACCCTCGGTACGAGCAGGCTGCTGGTGACGGGGTGGGGAGGCTCGCGATGTAGAAGGAACACGGGTGACAAGTCCAGGTAGGTCAACAGCCGTCCTGGTACCTTCACGGTCACATAAGGAATAAAAATCACACAATTTAGCAAGAGACACAGACCTGCAGGATGTCGGGATCAATATAATCAGCTACGTTATGGCCTTCCCAGATTTCAGGTATCTTATCGTATTTCTCAGAGGAGTTCATCAGATCCCAGTACTCTAAAGTAGAAAAGAAAGGTTAGGTTTACTGTAGTTTTTAATACCTTCAACCACGTCTCTCCAGGAAAATAACAGAGCACTTGCATCCAACGCCCCAGCAAAGAAACACATGCCCAGGGTCACACAGCGTCTCAGGACCACAGGCCTAGAGCGGGAGGTGAAGGCAGGGGCGGCAGACCGTCAGCAGCAGTGGCCTGCAGCACGCCAGCTAAACACCACCCTCCTGGAGCCCCCAAAACCACCCGCAAGAAGCCTCAAGCCGAGCCGCACACAACCTCGTCCCTAAGAAAGATTAAGGCACAGCTGCAGGGCGCGCGGGCACTGAAGCCCTCCCGCAGCTTCCTGAGCCGGACATCCGCCCTTACTCTGAAGGTCCAAAACATAATCGTCTCCCAGCTCCACTTCAAGGTCTCGTTCCTGCAACGAAGGGGCAGAGCACTCCCATCAGCTCTTGCTGGCCCCTCCTCGCCCCCGGGAGACGACCTCTCCTCCAACCCGCCAGCCCATCCGTGTAACGCCCGTGCGGTCCAGCTCCCATGTCCCGGGGGCCCCACCACTCACGTCCACGCTCGCCGAGCCTGACAGCACAGGCCCAGATGCCCTCAGTGTCATGTCCCGTGCCCGCCCTGGGCACACGCAGCCTTCTGCACCGCTGAAGCAGACCTACCCGTTTCCTCCTGGGCTCCCCAATGTCCATTCTCTTCCTGCGTGCCACCACTCCCTCGGGGATGAAAGGGGGCCTCTCCTGAGGGGACACCACCAGAAAGAGTTCCGTGAAATGCCTTGCTGAATACAAAAGGAACATAAAAGCGAAAAACCAGAGGCACACTCCCCCTCTGCAAAGCCAGACCAATTCCAAACCAGCAGATGACTATGTGGGGGTGCAGGGCCAGCTGGGCAAGGAAACAGAAAGACTCCATAGCTGATCCAAAGTTTATTTCTATTTTTTTTTCTAAAGATTTTATTTAAGAGAGAGAAAGAGAGAGCACAAGCAGGGGGGAGAGTGGCAGGCAGAGGGAGAGGGAGAAGCAGACTCCCGCTGAGCAGGGAGCCCGACGTGGGACTCGATCCTGGGACTCCAAGATCATGACCTGAGCTGAAGGCAGACGCTTATCCAACTGAGCCACCCAGGTGCCCTCCAAGGTTTATTTAGAAAAAATAAACACCAAAATTCTCGAGAAAAATTACAAACAAAAGAGCAACACAGAAGAAACAAAGCAGACGAAAGCAATCTAGACAGAAACCCAACACACAGGAGAATTTAATGGAAAGATACAGGATTCGATCATCAGTTTTGAGATAAATGACAACATACCTAGGTAGCTGCCTGCTTCCCAAGAACAAAACAAATGCAAGACTGAGCAAAAACTTCTGTTCAAAACAGGTAAAATTAAAAAAATGAAACCATTCAAGTATAGAAAAAAATACTTTTAAAGAATATTTTTGGGGGTGCCTGGGTGGCTCAGTCGTTAAGCGTCTGCCTTCGGCTCAGGTCATGATCCCAGGGTCCTGGGATCGAGCCCCACATCGGGCTCCCTGCTCTGTGGGAAGCCTGCTTCTCCCTCTCCCACTCCCCCTGCTTGTGTTCCCTCTCTCACTGTGTCTGTCAAAAAATAAATAAAATCTTTAAAAAAAAAAAAAAAGAATATTTTTGGAATGAATGGTAGGCCTTTCTGTGCATAACCAACAGTCGCAAAAAAATATCAATATTAGCTAATAACATATATTTAAAAAATTAAGTATTAAATAGCATATTAAAAACGTGTAATCTGAGACTGAAAAAGGAAACCCAAGTCAAAAAGCCAACCAAAGAACTAAAACAGCAACAACAACAACAAAAAAACCCCGGGGTGCCTGGGTGGCTCAGTCGTTAAGCATCTGCCTTCGGCTCAGGTCATGATCCCAAGGTCCTGGGTTCAAGCCCCACATCGGGCTCCCTGCTCGGCGGGAAGCCTGCCTCTCCCTCTCCCACTTCCCCTGCTTGTGTTCCCTCTCTCGCTGTCAGATAAATAAATAAAATCTTTAAAAATAAAAACAAAAAATCCTACAGAACATATGAGAGTCTGATATCCTTTACAAAAAAACTATACATTAAATGAATAAAAGATAAATCACCTAAAGAACAGGCCAATAAGCTCATGAAAAAAGCTTGCCTGAAAGGGCACCCGGCCGGCTCAGTCGGTGCAGCATGCCAACTCTTGATCGCAGGATTCTGAGTTCAAGCCCCATGTGTACAGATTACATAAAAATAAAATCTTTAAGAATAAAAAAATGCTGGGACGCCTGGGTGGCTCAGTCAGTTAAGCGGCTGCCTTCAGTTCAGGTCATGATCCCAGTGCTCTGGGATCAAGTCCTGCATCGGGCTCCTTGCTCAGCAGGGAGCCTGCTTCTCCCTCTGCCTGCAGCTACCCCTGCTTGTACTCTTGCTCACTCTCTCTCGCCCACGCTCTAACAAATAAATAAAATCTTTAAAAAAAAAAAAAAGAATAAAAAAATGCTCGCATGGGCTATTCATGAAGGAAATTCCAGCAGTGGGACACTCAGCATCAAAGATCTGGGAAACACACAGCATGACCCAGGAAGGGTCAACTCAACTCCCTACCGTAAAATTCACTCTATGTATACATCTGCAATTAAAAACAAAGACTTATGGATAAAGATGTGCAGCTAAGCACTGTAACAGCAAGAAAACCAACAACAAAAACTTTTTCTTAAAGACTGATTTACTTTAGAGAGAGAGCACAAGTGGGAGGAACAGGGAGAAGAACAGAGAATCTCAGAACCCCGCTGAGTGCTGACCACCACCCCGCCCGGCCCCGGGGCTCGATCCCATGACCCTGAGGATCAGGACCTGAGCTGAAACCAAGGGTTAGATGCTTAACTGACCGCGCCACCCAGGTGCCCCAGCACAGAAAAAATTTTAAGGAATGTTGATTCTATAAAATATGCTTACACACCAGAAAGACATTACTAAGCGCCTCTGGTGGAGTGAGCAGCAGACGCTACCTCTGCACTTGTGTACGTCAGGACACACGTCTGCAGGTGTCGTGGGCGTGAGTGTGCACAGCACCTGTGAGCCCCGAGTGAGGCAGGTGCCGGCTCGCAGGCTCTTGGGAAGGCCAACCTCACCTTGTCGTCTCTCTTGTTCGGCACAGCCAGATGCAGCCTATTGAGCACCTCGTTCACTTTATTTCCTTTCATTTTGGTTTCAACTCGATGAGCCAGGAGCCTGTCACAAGCCTGAGGTAAGGAAACAGGGCCAGACTCACAAGGCATCCTGCCTTCTGGTCTGGAGGCGGGGGTGTGGGACAGGAACCAGAGCCCCCCCGCTCACCAGCAGACTGTGTTCCAAAGCTTTGGACCCCGCTACATGCTTTTCCTCAGGAGTCACAGTGGCTGGTGCTGTCCTGGGGATCACCCCGAGGTCCACGTAACCCCTCGGGGCAGACTGCACGTTCAGGGGGGAACAGGCCCCCTTCCCAGGCCAGCCCAGGCTGGGGCAGCACCCCGAGGCAACACTCCACAGCCCTTCCAGGCCTGCCCCCCACCACGAGCAGCCCTCATGCTGTGCCCCCAGCCAGGTCCATAACCCCCCTCGGACTCTGACTGGAGCACCAGAGCCGAGTCAACCACAGCATCAAACCCGCCTTTCTTTCTATTTCACATAAAAATAACGTAAGCGATCAGAATCACATGTGAAACCTAAAGGAAAGGTCTCTCTCCATGCTCCTTTTGCTCCTTCGACTTCTACACAAGTTCGTGACAGGACAGCTCCCACAGCCATCCTGACAGGTCAGGATGGACAGCAGGCGGTGGATGAAGCGAAGCCACCCGTGCGGGAGTCGGAGTGTCCCCTCAAGCCCCACATTCAACTGGGCGGGTGGGGACCAGGCTCAGTGCTGTGCACACACTCTCCCGCCTGGCCGCCGCGACGGCTCCCTGCCCACGACACCTGCAGAGAACGCTTCCATCCCCACAATGGACTCCTCTGACCACAAAGGCGATAAAGGGATGGATGAAGCACTGACCTCTGTTTTCACTTGAATAACCCCTTCCTCCGTCAGGGTGCTAGTCTCAACCACAGGAAATCCTGCAGCCTGCAAATCTGCAAATATTTTCTGGGAAGACAAAAGAAAAACGAAAGAGCATTATTTATTTCCACCTCCCCACGAACAAGTCTTACTGTTCTTCATACGGGTACCATAAATGCTAGTTAGCACGTCCATGGTTCGTTTCTAAATTCTTCTAAAGGACATTTCCCCCAAATGCTGATCTCTCCCTACATTCTTCTGCGATTAAGAAAATACCCATTACCGGGAAGATCAAACCAGACTACAGAAGCAAACCAGAGGCTCCCTGGAACATTCTTCTGTAAGACGTCATCTTCTAAAAAGAAACCCAGCAACATCAAGCTACAGAATTTTTTTTTTAGTATATTTTCAACGCTATTTTTAAAGAAAACATTTGGCCTCTACAACCTAAGAGAATTCCTTACAAAACAACACAGAAACATATAAATCATTCCGATTTGGAACGAGGGGCTTCGCTTGTGCACCTCGTCACCAGCGCTCCCTCGTCCAGACACAGACGTCAACCCTGTGACGGGAAAGCTTGTCACAAACAAGTCCAGCACAATCACTTCGGGGTTCCACTTACCAGGGAGACTGCTCCCTCCCCCGCAAAGAGCAGTGGTCTTGGGGACACTGTGGTCTGACTAGCCTCTGAGCTCACAGTGACCCTGTTCATCGCACATGAGACAGGCAACAAGCCAGAGCCTCAGGCACACGGCCACGCCATTGGGTTAACCTGGCAGCACCATCGCGATGGCATCCACTGCCCACGTGCCTTCCAATTTCGTTCAATCTGCCTATCGAGGCTGCTGACGAACCACCCAGGGCTGCAACTATTAGCACCAGTGACGGCAGAACGGAGACCACACCCCCGTCACTGTGGGCACATGGCGGGATGGCGGGGCCTGGGCAAGCCTGACCTCGAAGCCTGAGCAGTTGGCTCAGCCTAACCTCCGGGCTTCACAGCTTAACCCTCATCTCCCCTTTCAGCGCAAGCACCTAAAAACCAGGATCACTTAGTAGGGACCTGGGTCCTCTCCAACCCAAGCGAATTCTCTAATGTCTGTGCGTACCTAGTTAGTAACTGAATGAACATGCTGTGGTGCCCGATATCCAGCATAGCTGTTTAAAAAGCCCTCCCTCTTCGCAAGTATGACATGTCCAACTAGTACAAGACAGAGGCGCTGGGAAGGGACGGCACGCCACCCCCTGGAGACCCTCCATGTTGAGCTGGTCAGTGACACGCACTCCAGGAGATGGGGCCACAGTGAGGTTATTCTAGTACCTGCTTCTCCAAGCTCCAGGGTGACCCACCCCGGGGGGCGCCTCCCAGGCTCTGACCCTGCGGGCCTGGGTGTGCCCAAGAGTCTGAGAACCTCTGCGCCAGTGTAAACTTTCTCCAGGGCTGCAGGGTGAGCTGTGTGGAGAGGGAGGGCTAACCACCCAACCTGCCTCTAGAAAATACAGCGAACACTCTATACTCCCTGTCCTGGCAAGTTTACAGATGCTCCTCCTACTTCACTCACTCACTCACCTCACTTCCCAAACTCATTTCCCCACAAGTCTGTGCAGCAGGTACATGACACCCACGGAACCCTCCTACCTACAGCCCTACTCTGCAGGTGCTGCTCAGTGCACCGGGGCTCGAGGCCTGAAGAGGCAAGGCCTGTGTCAAAGTGCTGTGTGTGCCCTAAGGCACCAAGGTTAAGACCTTCCATGGGTTAACTGTGCCATCCTGCTGAACGCACGGGTATTCCCACAGCCTCGAAGGCAGAGCAGAGCTCAGGGAAGGCCAGGTTTAGTCTGCCACCAATAAACCAGTGAGGATACTACCTCAACTGTAGAATAAAAACACGGACTAGTATTGCTAAAATTCCTTCTAACCTCTGGTGGTCTGAAATAAGATTTGGAATTAGCTAAGAAATACCCAAAACATTAAGGTGATTTACCTGATCTTCCTCAGAAAGTTCAGCTATCCTCTTCACATCGCATTTGTTTGCTACAACTATAAGAGGCTGCAACAGGGAAAACAAGTAATGAAATAATCATCCTCACAGTGCAAGTTATAAACCGAAAGTCCTCGCTCCCACCTGTACCTTGTTGATAAAGAGAGGTTTGATGTTCTGGAAGAGCTCTAGCTGCTCCTTCAGCCCGTGCCCACACTGCTCAGACAGGTCCATCACGTACAGAACCGCGGCACGCAGGTGAGCCAGGGCTGTGATGGCCTGCATCTCAATGGTGTTCCGATCCTCCAAAGGGTGGTCCAAAATCCCCGGAGTATCTACAACCTAACGGTCAGACGTGATACTCGAGAGCATACACACCCACAAACCTCCTGTCCAGCATATCAACGCCCACACCAGCCCTCAGAGAACCAGTACATAAAATGTAGATCTCCCAACTGACCATAATCAGATAAGCTTTAAATATGAAGACAAAAGGGGGGATGAGTGGACCCCGCAGAGCTCACTGAAGAACTAGCCAATGGGACGCCTGGGTGGCTCAGTTGGTTGAGCGACTGCCTTTGGCTCAGGTCATGATCCTGGAGTCCCGGGATCGAGTCCCGCATCGGGCTCCCTGCTCAGCAAGGAGCCTGCTTCTCCCTCTGACCCTCCCCCCTCTCATGTGCTCTCTCTCTCTCATTCTGTCTCAAATAAATAAATAAAATCTTTAAAAAAAAAAAAAAAAAAAAAAGAACTAGCCAATGACCTGGAGAAAAGGACTCCTCTTTTTCCCCTTTTTGATATATGCCAAACTATGCCAAACACGGTGCTTGAGCTCCTGAGCCAGACATCAAGAGCCACGCGCTCTGAGCCAGCCAGGGGCCCTAACAGAGCAGAACAGAAGAGCAACTGGGAAACTCTCCCATGTGTTAGGAACAACCTCATCGTTTATGAAATGAAATTCTACTGTAGAAACTGCTCCATGCTTTTAAATGGCTAATAAATGTCATTTATAATGACAGGGTCAGCAACGACAACAAGGAGACTTGTTTCTTCGGAAGTACCACTGTTAACATAACACAGGCCACCCGCTGTCTCCCGAGAACTGCCCTGAGGGCAGCCGGGGAGCTCAGGGGAGTTTTCTCTGCAGGGGTGTTCCTGGTGACCTTGAGAATCTCTCCCACCTCCTCCGAGTCTTTCCCTAAGCCCACTGGGAATTAGGGAGACACTCTAGTTCTTTAGGGATCCCCAAAATCAAATCCCGTTAACAAGAGCTCTATGTTTAAAGGTGGGAGCGCTCACCTGCCAACGCAGATACTTATAATCCATGTGCCCCACAAACAGAGACTTGGTCGTAAACGCATAGGGCTGGACATCCACATCGGCTCTCGTCACCTAAAACAAAACAATCATAACACCAACAGTTACACAAGTTCCTATTTCCTCTCAGAGGTCTGTGTGGCACCTATGGGTTATAGAGATGAATGATTTCGGCATTAAAACAAAACAAGACCAAACAAGGAGAGAGACCTGGCATGATTACGTTGCTGAGGACCGAAGCTGCTGCTCTCTGATGGACGGACTCCATCCACTTCCTCCCGCCACCAGGCCAGGGCAGTGACAGTCCCCATCAGATACTAGGGAGGTGGGGGGCCAGTACTTGGGAGAGTGTCCGTCAGCTTCTGCTCTGATCCACCCCGGCCCCAACAAACTTGCTGTGCAGACAGAAACACTCTGTACCTGCACGGCTGATATGGGGCCCACCAGCCACACATCCGCCAACTCTCGACATGCAGTCAGTGCAACCGAGGGCCTCAACTGTTTACTATTTCATTGTAAGGGATTAAGTGGCCACTGGCTCGCAAGCGTTCGAGCCGTGAGCTCGGACACCGCAAAGCTTCAGCCTATCATGTCAGCACAACTTGGGGACAAAATAAAGACCTGCAAATAGGGTCAAAGTGGAAGTGTTCCTGGCAGCAACATTCACACATACGTAACTGCTGTTGTTTGGCACCTGAGCTCCTGCTGGTTGTGAACTGACATTTTACATTATTTATTTATGAACCAACCTTTTATTTTCCTTTAAAGATTTATTTATTTTAGAAATAGAGTGTGCACCCAAGAGCACAAGTGGGAGGGGTGGAGGGAGAGAAAGAGAATCTCAAGCAGACCCCACAGTGAGCAGGAGCCTGACGCGCACAGGGCTCAATCTCATGACCCTGAGATCATGACCTGAGCAGAAATCAAGAGTCAGACCCTTAACCGACTGAGCCACTTCGGCGCCCCTTAAATGCTTTTTCTACTCTGTTCAGGTCCCTGAAGCTCAGCTAAGTTGTCTTGAAGGACCGAGTTACTAAATAGTGTCCTCAAGTCCGAATTAATAAACTCACCCAAGTAAAGAGCAACTCAGCCACTCCCCACAACGTGGACCAAATACTTTACGTGAGAAGTGTCCCATCAAGCAAGGTGACACCCACGAAATACCTCACGAAGTCCAATTCAGCAAGTGCCGCCTGTCAGTCGGCACCAGCTCTCCTGGCGCTCCCGCTCCCAGCCTAGGCTCTCTGTGTAACAAACCCCAACTGGAATGTCTCGAATCCCGAACAAGCTTACGGAACACGTACCAGAACACACGATGTTTTCCGTAACAGCAATATAAATGTGGATTCAGACAGACACAATCCTCCCCTCGAGTAAAGGGCTGTGCACAGCGAGGGGCAGTACTGACTCAAGGACTCACTGGCCGGCTGTCCTCCAACCCACAGGGACAGGACACAGCAGCCCTTGGGCCTCAGGTCCTTGGTCACTTGTTAATGCCAGACACAGACTAACCTTAATTTTCTTTTTTTTTTAGATTTTATTTATTTATTTGAGAGAGAGAGCACAGAGGCAGAGGGAAAAGGAGGCTCCCCACGGAGCAGGGAGCCCGATGTGGGGCTCGATCCTGGACCCTGAGATCATGACCTGAGCCAAAGGCAGATGCTTAACCAACTGAGCCACCAAGGTATCCCTAACCTTATTTATTTTTTTAAATTTTATTTATGTATTTGAGAGAGAGAGAGAGGGAGGGAGGGAGCACACACACAAGTAGGGGGAGAGGCAGAGAGGGAGAAGCAGGGTCCCCGCTGAGCAGGGAGCCCAACGTGAGACTCGATCCCAGGCCCCTGGGATCATGACCTGAGCCAAGGCAAACACTTCACTGACTGAGCCACCCAGGCATCCCCAAACTAACCTTATTGATGAAGCTGGACTTGCCAACATTCGGGTATCCACATAGGAGCAGGGTCCTTGTATTCGGGTCAATAGTTGGCAGACGGGACAGATGCTGCCGCACTGTGAGAAGTTCACATTACATATGCTTTATTTCATAAGAACAATGGAGAAAGTCAAACTTGGCCCCCCTGCTCGGCGGGGGACCTGCTTCTCCTCCCTCTCCTACTCCCCCTGCTTGTGTTCCCTCTCTTGCTGTGTCTCTGTCAAATAAATAAATAAATAAATCTTTTTTGGTTTGTTTTTAACAAACATCAGGGAGAAGCAGGCTCCCCGCGGAGCAGGGAGCCCAATGCGGGGCTCGATCCCAGAACCCTGGGATCATGAGCTGAGCTGAAGGCAGACGCTTAACGACTGAGCCACCCAGGTGCCCCTAAATAAATAAATCTTAAAAAAAAAAAGATCAGACAAAACAGATCCTTGGAAGCACTGTCAAAACAGTCAAGTCCGACAACTTGTTACAAATTATTTGCAAGATGGGGGGGCGGGGGAAGAACAAAACACAATGACTTAAAAACATCTGTAGCATAAAAATATACATAAAAAGGCATGTAACTGTTTCATTAGAGATACTACACTAATTCAGGACTGTCCTCTTAAAATAAAACAATCATGTAATGAAACTGGAGTAGCAATTTCATGCTAACACATACTGCAAAGCTTTTCTTTTTTAAAGATTTATTTATTTGAGACAGTATACATGCATACACTGGACTGGGAAGGGCAGAGGGAAAGAATCTCAAGCAGACTCCCCACTGAGCACAGAGACCAAAAGGGGCTTGATCCCACAACCCTGAGTCATGACCTGAGCTGAAACCAAAAGTCAGACACTTAACTGACTGAGCCACACAGGCGCCCCATATTGCAATTTTTGGGGGAAAAAAAAAAAAAATTTTTTTTTAAATTTATGTCAATAGGTTAAAACTATGGGTCATTTTATTTTTTACATATTTCCTTGGTATTTTTCCTGTGACTTATAATGTATGTGCCTTATGTATGAAATATGAAAAACAAATTCTCTTAATAGTACTAATAATTTATAAGCATTTTAACTGCTAGCTGCTTTTTCAATAGTAACTAGCCTGTCAGAAATTCTCATGGGCTAGGTGGGGAAAAGTAATTTGACCCTGTTAGGTCTAAAATAAAACAAATATTCCAAAAATGCGTTCTTGACAAGAATCAAGTAGCATAACAGCACACTAAACAGTGTTCTTGCTTATGTATCACAGGTACCTTGCTCCAAATATTCCAAACTCTGCTTCTGTCTCCTGATGATCGTGCACATCCGCCCGAGGGCCGCGCGTTTCAGCTGCTTGCAGCGGTAGAGAGAGTCTCCGTACTTCATGAGCCGCACGTAATCTTTAGCCACACTTAAATAAAAACAAATATATGACATGTTTTTCACTCTGGACAATAATTTGAAAGATACTGTATTAAGAAAATACCTTACTTGTCCACCAAATTTTTGGCAATATTTATTTGTCCTAGAGCCAACTTGTAATGATCCTTGTCATAGAGAATGTTCATCAAATCAGCATAAAATGGATGGATATCCTAAAACAGAAACAAATTGGTCTTTTGGCACAGGTTTCTCATCCCAATGTGTCAACAATACTTGCAGAATAATTTCCTAGGGAAATACATCCCACCTTTCCTCTCTCCTCAAACCCCCGGCATCTTCTCCCCAGCCCTCTCTCCTGACTGATGACTGCTTAGCTCTCTGAGAAAACATCTAAGTGAGCTCAGGGGTCACTTCTGTCTGCCCACCTGGCCTGGGCCCAAGACTGTGCCCCCTTCACCCCATCCACAGACCCAGCCAACTCTCCATTTGTGCACAAGAGTCCTCCCCCACTGCTCAAGACCTGAATCCAGGCCTGCAAACATGCTGTCACCACCCCCCCAAATCTAAAAGTCTGCAAGCCCCCTTGAACCCACAATCCTTCTACTCCTTTGCTACCCTCTTCGCTCTTTTCTTCCCTTACACCCAAGTTAGTCAGGATTGTCTCTACCAGTCCATCAAAACAGCTCATCAGATCAGCCCCTCCCCGAACTCCTTTCATCTTTGCAGAGCTCTGCACAGCAGACAGCTGGGCACTCACGCTTCCTGATGCTTTCTATTCAACTGGACTCCGGGACCGACTCTGCTCTTGCAGGCTCATGCTCCCACCCAACACTCAACATTAGGGTTCCCAGGAACACTCTTCTCTCCACACTCACGTCCTGGGTGACCTCGCATGGATCTAAGTGCACAGACATCTTCAGGCCAGACCTCTCATAAAGTTCCAGACCACATGCACTTCTGTGTGACGTCTTACCCACATTTTGATCAACACATACAAACCGCCATCCTCCTCCCCAAACCTCCCCCCGTTCCCGTGTGGATGGATGGCCACTCCACTGTCCAAGGTGCTTCGGGCCACACCTGTGCTGTGAGCAAACCCATTAGCTCTTCCTCCCCAGCACTCAACTCTTCACTGCTGCCAGCTGCTAAACCCAGTGCACCAACCTTCCCAGTGGCCTCCTACCCCACGGGCCACTCATCCTCTAAAAGCTAAGTCAAAGCTCGGCACATCCCAGGCTCAACCTGGAAGGCTTAAGACAGAACTCAAGCCCTGCACGGCTCACTACCTCACTGCCCTCAGGCCTCTGCTACAATCTCCCTGCTCTCCTTACGCATCTGACACACTGCAGATTTCCACGCTTACCGTCTTTCCCTCACTAGACAAGCACAGGGCCTCTATGACTGCTGTGCTCCCGGGGCCTGAACAGAATTCGAGACATGTCAGTCATGCTGCGAACGCAGCTACTATAACCTCCTACTCTAAAATTCTTCTCAGATAGCTAACTCTAGTTTAAAAAATGCGGGGGGGGGGGGGGGGAGGGGGCACCTGGGTGGCTCAGTAGGTTAAGCATCTGACTTGATTTCAGCTTAGGTCATGATCTCAGGGTCGTGGGATCGAGCCCCACATCCACACTGAGTGTGGAGCCTGCTTCAGATTCTCTCCCCCTCCCCGAACCCTCAAAAAAAAAAAAGGGGGAATAGAATGTTCACAAATTTAAACTTCTACTGTATAAAAAAATACCAAGGATGAAGAAAGATAAAACTTCTTACAAAGAACTACAAAAATCTGGTACTAATTAGTTCACAGCATTCTGTTTGCTCAGATCAGGTGTTTTCAAATATCACACCAGTTTCCAATAATCTCATTCTTTTGCTTCCTTCCAGGTAATTTCTAAGGTACCCACCCTTTCCCCAGCAACTATTCATGTGTTCAACTAGCCTCTACTTAGCACCTGTAGCATGCCTGGGAGACACATGGAAAGTGCATACCTGTCTGCTAGCAGAAACCTCTATACTTATTTTAAGCACATCTGTAATTGTTTAAACGAACCACTGTCACCTTAAATATGAAAGAAACTCTTGTCACATAAACCACCTTTTCTCCTCTGCCTTAACCTAGCTTTACGGACTGTTTTGGGACAGTGGCAAATTTAGGTTCTCACCCTGTACTGCTGCCCCTACCCCACATCCTTCACCACCTCAAATCACCTTGCAGCGGTGGGGTAAGCAGGGTCTGCTCTTGCTTTCTACAGCTTCATCAACAGCAAACTCGACTATGCTGTCAGCGACGATTTCAACTGTTTTGGCTCAATGCACAAATCAAAGCTCCCCCACACAATTTCTTCTCACTGACCATCACTGGCTGATGAAGCGACAGGATCACAAACAGTGGTGGACCTCAGGCCACTGATGTAACTTGAGGCCCCAGGAAAAGGAACCTTGGAAAGAGGAAGGAGAGGAAGCCCACGTAAGCTGGTGAGCTGCCAGATTCAGAGTGCACAGCTTTGAGAGAGCTTGGGTTGGCACCTCAAGCCTCGAAGTGACAGAGAAAGCCTGAAGAGACAGCTCCAGGCCCTCTTATATGGGGTTTGGCAGGGGGAAAGGAAGAATACTAAGGAATCAAAAAACCTGTGCTCTGTTCCCAGCTTTGCCACTAACTCACAAAGTCTGACAAGTGAATCATTTTGTTTCCTTCCTTATTTGTCAGGTAAGTACACAAACTGGCTAGAAATACCAATTATCTGATGGCTTACATTTATATTACTGTGTCCCCGAGTCACTTACATCCAATTTGGGGAAATCTGTTAGAATCTGTGAGAGTCTGTCATGGTAATTCTGTTGAGTAAATTTGACTTTCCTCATATAAAAATGTCTAATGCGATGAATTTGGTAATGTTTATGGATAACTGTTGGAGTCTTCCGTTGAGTCTTCGATAACGTCAGGTCAATAAAGTCCTGCAATTAAATAAGACACAGTACACCAAAAATGTCTACTTTTTATCCACTTATCTGAAACCCTCTCAAAAGACTAACAAAGGTACCACATGTTTTCAACTACAAACACTTTTTCTAACTAATCTTCAATCTTTTATATTCAACTCTGATCATGTTCATAGTTTCTGGCCTTTAACAAACACTTAGCAAATGGCTACCAAAATAAATTTTATCCCACACTTTCTTGATGTTACCTTAATTTCCAAACACCCAGGGCCCTCTGAAACTAGTCAGGTAACTCAAGCATAACTCAGAAAAAACATTAAAGAGAAAAAATCCTGCAATTTCAATTTGCAAATCTTTGACTTTGAAAGTATATAAAACAACAAGTAAAACTAAAATTCACTGCATATAATTTCCTAAGATGTGAAAGTCACTGAGAATATAAACTCTTGCTTGAACTGCCCAGTGCAGAGACAAGCGGACAGGCGCCCACAACACTGTCAGTAACAGGAGGGACACAGACTTCAAGCCTGGAGGCCTGTACCCCCCTCTCCATCTACTGAATTCTATGAATCCTTAAGAGGCTCCTTCAAAAACATCTACTTCATAAAGTTTCTCGACTCCCCCACCCCCTCCTCTCTGGGGAGGATCCCAAAGTCTGCAGAAGGTCTCTAACCCAGAGGAAAGGACCCCAACGCCGGAGGGAAGGACCCTAACGCCTGAAGAAGGCCCCTCAGTGTCCGGCGGGGAACCGCTAACCCTGGAAGGCCCTAATCTGGGGACGACGTGGCTTAAGAAGGGGGGCCCGCCGGAGGAGGCGACCCCTGTCCCATCCCAGAATTACAGGCTCGGGCTTTCCTGGCGACCCGGCAGGGGAGAGGCGACTGCGGACAAGCCCTCGCGGCCGCCTACCTTGGCGGACGGCACCACCGTGATCTTCTTGAAGTTGTAGTGCGCCATGCCGGCGATCAGCCACGAGGGACCGGGAGCAGCGGACGTGCGGGCGGGACTTCCGCTGGCGGCGCGTCACTTCCGGGTGCTCCCTGTATCCGCAGGCACAGCTTCCGTGTGTCACGGCGCCCCCGTCCGGCCGGAGGTCCCCCGCGGAGGAGGTCTCTGGGATCCGCGGGGGAGGCGGGGAGAGAGAGGGGCAGGTCCGGACAGGCTGACCCGGCTCGAGGGGCTTGGGGTCCCGGGGGACTGCGGGGGCTCGGGGGGGCCCAGGAACTCGGGGGATTTCGGGGGGCCCGGAGGACTCAGGGGGTCTTGGGGACTCGGGGGATCGCGGGGACCTGAGGGACTCGAGGGTCTCGGGGGTGTCTCAGGAGCCCGGGGGACTGGGGCACCGGGGTCGTGGCCCACTGGCGTCGGCTTCCCAAGAACTGACGCCCTGGTTCTACGTTTTCTGCGACACACCCCGACGCTGGACTGGTGAAGGCGACGAGCGCTTAATGAGCGAGCGAGGAACGCGGGAGCGGAGCTCGGCGGCGGCGGGGTGTGGGGGGGGGCTCTAAGCTCCGCCCCTCCTGCTCCCCCCGTCGGCCGGGCCTGCCCGGGCCTGCGTCCCCAAGCCCTTTGCGGTCCAGCGCCCACCCAGAGGCTCCGGAGGTGTCTGATTCCTGCCTGCTGGGCTCCTCCTCCCACCCAGCCTCAACTGCCAACCTCTCCGACCCCGGACCATTCCTTGTCATCACTTCCCCCCTTCTCTTCTGCTTGAAAACCGCCCTCTGCATCCCTGGGACCCTCTCTGATTCCCTGCTCTTTGTTAACCTACTCCCTGCCACCCAGCCCTCCCTGGAGCCTGCCCTCCACCCCTTGCTCTTCCTCCCTGGAGTCTCTCTTTTAGGGTAGCTTGGCTTGTTGCCTTGCATGGATCCCTCTGATGACACAGACATTTCCAGTCCAACTGCTGTCTCAATTCCAGACTGACATTTCCAATCAATTGTGAAATGCCCACCTGCCTGATTCCAGATGTGTCAAACTCAGCATGTCCCCAAATCAGAAACTCTCACCATCTTCTCTCTGTAAGTAGATCCATCCTCCCTGTGCTGTGCCAGAGGGCAGCCTGCACCCTGACACCCCTCACCCGCCAGAAACAGGGGAGTGGCTGGGAGCCAAGAGCTGGGCTGACCCGTTGCTTCCAAGAGTGAAACAGCACCACGGGCAAATGTGAGGTCAAACCCAAGAGATGGTCCAAAGGACTTGCTAAATCCCAAGAACATGGGGCAGAGAAGAAAAAGCCTGATGTAAGGCAGAGCGTTGCAACAGTGCATTAGGAGCGTCAAGAGGGCAGGTGGAGACAAGCCCTCTGGCGTCCGACTGAAGAGCAGGTTGATAAGGGTGGTGCATCTGAACGCTCACCACTATAATTTCTGTTAACAGCATGGCCACTCCCTCAGGTAACACAGGACCACGAGTCGTGGTAAACCTATGTAGGTGTGACCATGTGCCAAGCACTGTTCGAAGCACTTGACCACATATTAACTCACTTAATTCCTACAACCCCAAGAGGTGGGTGGGGAAACCAAGGCACAGCAAGACTGCTCACTAGCCTGTGGTCAAACAGCCAATTGGTGGCAGACTTGGGTTTGAACCTAGATGGCCTGGCCCAGCATCACTGTTCTGGACCATTACTTATTCTGCTTCTCAGTCATCTTCTTAGATCCTTTTAGTAAGTCCTATCATTTTTACATTAACTTGCAAATGTTCCAATGTTGAAAACAATTTTGATTCACGAGTCTCAATTACGAACCGTAAGGCCCATCTTTGTGTCATCAGTGAATCAGCTAGTTAGATAAGTGTGCCTCCCATGTCTTAGCGGCTCTTCGACAGGAAGCCTCTGGGATAATTAGGACTCTCCAGCTACAGTCATCTGCTGAACCACAGGACAGCTCTGCAGAGCTTTGCTCATGCTCTCCGCCACCCCCACCCCACCCCCCGCCAGGGTGCCTGTGCCTTCCCTCAGCCTCTCCCATCACCCTCACTCTTTTTTTTTTTTTATATTTTTTATTTATTTATTTGAGAGAGAGAGAATAAGAGAGAGAGCACATGAGGGGGGGAGGGTCAGAGGGAGAAGCAGACTCCCTGCCGAGCAGGGAGCCCGATGGGGGACTCGATCCCGGGACTCCAGGATCATGACCTGAGCTGAAGGCAGTCGCTTAACCAACTGAGCCACCCAGGCGCCCCACCCTCACTCTTATGTGGCTGGTTCCTCCTTTTTAGAATTCCAGTATTTCAATAAGTCCAACCAATCCTTGGCTTCAGGCAGACAACTGTCCTTTCTTTAGGTCTTCATTCTAGGCAATAACAAAGCAACCTCTTAGATTTGTACAGGTTGTTAACATTTACCAAGTGCTTTACTTTTTAGTCAATGATATTCCCAACAACTTTGTGATGTGGTGCTAACGTGAGATTACAGGCTTGCTTCTTCCCAAAGTCACATGGCTCTGAGGGGCAAATGAGATGGGATCCGAATGCCCTGTAAACACAATCCTTATATATAGACAGTACGTGGAGGGCACAGAATTCTTTAAAATGGTGATAATATTATAAAATGTCAATATGTGTGATGTTGTTGGTTTTACGCATGATAGTTGAAGTCTACTTGTTCACATAGAAGAGAAGAGGAACCATTCACTGAAAGAAATCAACAGGACTCTTGACGAAGAGCAGGTATATTAACATTTGCATCAGAGAATAAATGTGAGAGAATTTTATAAATCCTATCAGTGAAAAACTGACAGGTCTTTGGCATTTTTACTATTCTCTCATGAGTTTGGAATCCTATTTGCCTACAACAATAAAGACTCGTGATGATGAAGAGTCCGAGGCCCCAATCCACATCCTGGTTCTGCCCCCTACAAGCTACGTGAACTCAGGCAGGAGACTCAACAACTCTTAGCCCTGGCCCCTCTTTGCCAAATGGGGAAATAATGCCTACTTCCAAAGGATCGTTTATGGTGACTAATTAAGACATGTGCACAAAAGCATAAGGCATAAAGTAAGAGGTGTTAATATGACAATCATTAATAAATTTTTGTATCAAAACTTTATTGGGTCAGCGCAAGGTAATGATTTGAGCATTGCCATGACGTATATTAAATGCCAGATTTCTTATCAGAGATTCTCAGTTCCCACAGGTGGTAATGAAACCATCCCTCAGAGAGTGGGTTCATGCAGAATCTGAGTTATTTGCTAGCCTTCTAAGGGTGAGGACTAGCACATGAATAGAAGAGATGCATGAACCAGCCTCCGCTCCTTGTGGGTCTGTGGGTGTGACACTGGGAGAGGGGCTATGAGAAAACCAGGCTACGTGCCAGGAGCTGCCCAGCTGCCAGGCAGGTCTGAGTGCCCCAGCATCACAGGCCCAGAGCAGCACTCCCATGAGGAGGTACCTCACATCCCACACCACCCGTGTGTTGATGAGAATCAACGTCCTTCCCTTCCCACCTGCACCTTGCCTGGCTGAGCATGGCTTCCTGGGAACAGGGTGTGTCCCAGGGCACTAAGAGCAAGCCACTCATCCATGAACAGGCTGCTGGTCTCTGGGGGCCTCTTCTCACTGCCACCTGCAGTGAGGGCAGCTCACCAATTCTTGAGCTGATTTCAACCGTGTCTGGAGGTGTCTGGTTACCAGGACTCCTCAGAGGGTGAGGCCTGCGGGACTTCCTGGCGGCTTCAGCCAGGCTTGTTTTCCAGGCTGTTTTGTGGAACGGGTCTCCTCTGTTGCACTTTCCTGTTGCTGTAATTCTGACGTGAAAAGTACATCTTGCAGTGACATCTGTGCCAGGGAAGTGTGACCAGGCTTCTTGCCTGAAAGGAGACTTTGTGTGGGGATTAGTCACTTAGCCGAAGGTAGCTGTCCAGTATCAAAGTGTTAGGACCGCTCCAGCACATCTGTGGTCACGTCGCTGGGTCCCCAGAAACTGTTCTGGCCCACGCATCTGGCATGGATCTGTGCTGCTTTGGGCTGTTGTCTAGATGT